ACTTCTGCAGTCTGAATCTGACCAAACGTGCAATCAAGATGCACTGATAATTGCTGGTGATTGGAATGTGAAAGTTGGCAACAAAACAGAAGGATGAGTAATTGAAAGACATGGTTTTGGTGGTACAGGTGATGCTGGGGGTCACATGGTAGAATTTTGTGAGGCCAACGACCTGTTCATTGGAAATGCCTTTTTTCAACAACATAAAGAGTGACTACACATGTGGACCTCACTGGATGGAATACACAGGAGTCATATCGACTACATCTGTGGAAAGTGGTGATGGAACAGAACAAGGGAACACTGCCTGGTTTAAAATCAGGAAAAGAGTGCGTCAGGGTTGTGTCTTTTCCCCACATTTATTAAACCTGTGTGCTGAGCAAATGATCCGAGAAGCTGGGCTGTATGAAAAAGTACGTGGCATCAGGATTGGAGGAAGACTCATTAACAACCTGTGCTGTACAAATGACAAAACCTTGCTTGCTGAAAGCGAAGATGACTTGAAGCACTTACTGATGAAGATCAAAGACTACAGGCTGCAGTATGGATTACACTTCAACATAAATAAAACGAAAATCCTCACAACTGGTCCAATAAGTAGCATCATGATAAATGGAGAAAAGATTCAAGTTGTTAAGGATTTCATTTTACTTGGCTCCATAATCGACACTCGTGGAAGCAGCAGTCAAGAAATCAGACCCTGTATTGCATTGGACAAGTCTGCGCTGAAGACCTCTCTGAAGTGTTAAAAAAGCAAAGAGGTTACTTTGAGGAGTAAGGTGCACCTAACCCAAGCCTCATATGCATATGAACACTGGACAATGAATAAGGAAGCCCGAAGAGGAGTTGATGCCTTTGAATTACAGTGTTGGTGAAGAATATTGACTACACTATGGACTGCCAGAAAAACGCACAAATCTTTCCTGGAAGAAGTGCAGCCGGAATGCTCCTTAGAGGCGAGAATGGCCAGCCTCCATCTCGCCCCCTTTGGTCATGTTATCAGGAGGGGCCGATCTCTGGAGAAAAATATCGTGCTGGGGAAAGCGGAGGGTCAGAGAGGGAGGGGAAGACCTCGGCAAGACGGACGACACAGTGGCTGGCGGTGGACCTAGGCACAGCAAGGACTGTGAGGATGGCTCACAGCTGGGCAGCGTGTCATTTGTTGTACATAGTGTCGCTATGAGTTGGAGCCGACTCGACGGCACCTAACAACAACAACAGAACAACAGTATGAGTCAGAAGTGACTCACTGCCACACTCAACACACACATATATATGTATGTATTTATGTATGTATATGTGGAGCCCTGGGGGGTGTAGTGGTTAAGGAATTGGTTGTTAACCTAAAGGTCAGTGGTTCAAACCTACCAGCAGCTCTGTGGAAGGAAGATGAGGCAGTCTGCTTCCATAAAGATTTACAGCCTTGGAAACCCAATGGGGTCCACTATGAGTCAGAATCCACTCAATGGCAGTGAGGTGTTTTTTGAAATATGTTGTTGTTATGTGCTGTGAAGTTGGACCTGACTCATAGCGACCCCTCCTTGGGTTTCCAAGGCGGTATCACTACGGAAGTAGATTGTCCAATCTTCCTTCCGAGGAGTGGCTGGTGGGTTTGAACTGCCAGCCTTCTGGTTAGCAGTCAAGTGCCTTAGGCACTGCACCACCAGAGCTCCTGTTTAAAATATATATATATGATGATTCTCCATTTTATTCAAAATTGGATGACCTAAGACTTCTGCTATTTTATCCTCATTTTACAGGTAGGAAAACTGAGGCCCAGGGAGGTTGGGCAGTGGAAGGAGCTAGACCTAGAACTCAAGTCTATCTGATCCTAAGTCCTGTTTGAAACTCCTGTGACTCCAGGCTAGGGTAGGACCCAGACCAGCCTTTCTCTTGGGAGCTGCTCTTGGAAGCTGATGCTTGTCGAAAGCCCTGCAACCACTCACCCTGGAAACTGGGGAAGTAGGTGGCCAGGTGGGAGGTGGGGATCTTCTCCTCCAGGATGTCGGTTTTGTTGAGGAAGAGGATGACGGATGTGCTCTTGAACCAGGGCAGTTCCAGGATGGTGCCAAACAGGGCCAGGCTCTCCTTCATGCGGTTCTGGGTCGGAGGCACAGGAGGGCCGTTAGCGCTCCCACTGCCAGCTCAGTCTTCACAGGAGACCCTCACCCACGTGGGGACCGGGCTTACCTCCTCCCAGCTGGGTATGAAAGGGCGTGCCCACGTTCTGTGTGGCCAGCTGCCTGGTGTGGCTTGGTGACCACCCTCAGCCTGTGCCCGAGCGGCTGCTTTGCGGAACATGGGTGGTCGGTGATCACTGTGGTTGGGGCTCGGAGTGTCTTTCCTGAGTGTGCTGTGTGTGAATGTGTCTCTGGGCCCAGCTCTGTCTCGAGTATCTGCTCCCGTTCCCAGGTGTGTGAACATCTGGGCAGGTCTGAGCGTGTGTGAATGCCTGTGTCTGCATAGTTGGGGGTGCTGCGTGTGTCTAGCTTTGGCCAGAATCTTCCGGCCGTGTGCATCTCCATGACGTATAAGTGAGATGTGATCTCGGTCGTGTGGCTGGATTCGAGGAAGAGCTGTGGCAGAATGACCCAGAATCCATTTGACCTCATTCAGTCTGAAAGCTGACATGGTCACATGGGAACCTGCTAGCCTCAGACTGTGTGCATCTTTACCCAAGAGTCCACATCTTTTAGATAATCACATTTCTGACCTGCGTGTGCGAGCGTTAATTGGGAGGAAAGTTCACACTTAAAAAGCGCGAGTTGCAGCCTTTCTGAATCCGGGAAACATGATGCCTGCAGAAAGCGGCCAGTCCCCCCGCATTGTGGGGCTGAGCTGGGACCTACAGGGCCATGCAGGGCTGTGAGGCTGTGAGGGCTTGTTGAGTGTGTGTGTGAATGGTTGAGTGTGTGCAGTGTGCATGTATTTGAGAGTGTGTGTGCCTGAGTGTGTGTGCATGCACATGCATGTGTCTGTGTCAGTTGTGTCTGGTTGAGTGTGTGTGTGTGTGTTTGAGTGTGTGTGTTTGGGTATGTTTGTGTCTGTCACATGTGTGTACATGCACATGTCTGTGTGTCAAGGATGTGTGGTTGAATGTGTGGTTATGTGTGTGTGTGGTTGTGTCTCTGGCTGAGTGTACATATGTGTCTGGTTGAGTGTGTGTATATGTGTGTGTGTATGTGTAGTTGGGGTGGTGTCTGGTTGTGCAGCACATGTCTGTGCAGCTGTGTCGAGGATGTGTGGGGTGTGTGTGTGCATGTGTGTGGTTGCATGTGTATGCATGCACGTGTCTGTGTCTGTGTCCAGGATGTCTGGTTGTGTGGGTGTGTGGTTGTGTGTGTGTCTGGTTGTGTGTGTGTCTCGTGTGGTTGTGTCTCTGGTTGAGCGTGTGTGTGTGTGTGGTTGGGGTGGTGTCTGGTTGTGCACGCACGTATCTGTGTGTCTGTGTCGAGGATGTATGGTGTGTGTGTGTCTGCTTGAGTGTGTGTGCACGTGTGCACACGCCCGAGTGTCAGGGTTCTCGTCTGTAAATGCTGTAGGTCCAGGTCTTGGGACAGCCTGTCTAATCGCAGGCTGGTTTCCCATCAGGCACAGCCAGGGCGGGGCCGGCGGGAGCAGGACCCCTGCGCATGGCAGGGCTTCCCGCTCCGAGGGCCGCAGGCCGCGGGCGGCCCCTCACCTCCTGGTTGTTCTCCTCCAGGCACTGGTCGTACTCGCTCAGCGAGGCCAGGTAGATGAGTGCGACCACGTTTTCAAAGCAGTGAATCCACTTCTTGCGCTCTGACTTCTGGCCCCCGACGTCCACGATCCTACGGGAACCAGGATCCCCGGACCCCAGTCAGGCCCGGGTGCTCCAACAACAAAAACACGTGGCTCTCCTCTTGTGGATCACCGCCTGGCACCCCCGTGTGCCAGACATGGCCTACCCCCATATTACAGGCAAGGAAGAGACTGCCCAAGCCCCCACCAAACGGAACTGCCTGCCTTCTCCCCGCTGCCCAGCAGAGGGCAGCAGTCAGCCAGCGCTGTTCTGGTTGGGGGTGAGGACACGCCCACCCTCTCCGGAGCTCAGTTTACCCCGCAGCCGCGAGGGCCCTTCTGAAAGCGTGCACCCTCTGCTGTCTCCGTGGCCTCAGGCAGGGCCCAGCCTCCGCCCCTACACGCCACAACAAAAGCCTGCGCCTCCCGCCTTCCTGTTCTCGCTTCTTAAGAAATGTGGGTCACTGATAACAGGCTGCGTCATTTCCCCCGGGGATGCGACCGTTACTCAGGCGGCTCAACAGGAAATGCCAGAACCGGGGCTCGGGAGGGGGCCCGAAACCTCCAAGCAAGAAGGGACTTGTAAATGATTACAGGAAGGGAAAGCGAGGCCGGGGACGCAGTGGCTGGGCTGCGTCTGGACCAAAGCCTCCTGGTTCCCAAGACCAACCCCTCTCACTTGTCTTCTGATACCCTCAAACCCTATATCCAAATGGGGGCCAGGGGGCTCAGGGGTGGACAGACGTGGGTTGCAAAGCAGAGGTCAGCTACCTGCCAGTTGAGGGACTTTGGGCCAGTCACCTCCCCTCTGTGGCCCAGTTTCCTCTCAGGTGTCATTCTACCTCTGTAGCCTCTGTCTTTGGCCCCAAAACATACTCAACTCTCCCCCACCTGCAAATCACCGCTCAGACTAGCCTTCTCTGTGCGCTTCTCTCATCATCTACCTATTATCCACCCACCCATCTGCTTATCCACTCACCCATCCGTTCATCCACTCATCCACCCCCCACCCATCCACTCACTCCCCACCCATCTATCCACTCACCCACCCACCCACCCATCCACTCATCCACTCACCCACCTATCCACTCACCCACTCACCCATCCGTTCATCCACTCATCCACCCCCCACCCATCCACTCACTCCCCACCCATCTATCCACTCACCCACCCATCCACTCATCCACTCACCCACCTATCCACTCACCCACTCACCCATCCGTTCATCCACTCATCCACCCCCCACCCATCCACTCACTCCCCACCCATCTATCCACTCACCCACCCATCCACCCATCCATCCATCCACCCATCAGCCATCCAGCCATCCATCCATCCACCCACCCATCTATCCACTCACCCACCCACCCACTCATCCACCCACCCACCTGTCCATCCATCCATTCATCCATCCATCCATCTACCCCCCGACCAACTTATTCATCTACCCACCTACCCACCCAACCATTGACCCATCCATCCAACCACCTACCTATTTACCCATTTACCCACATACCCACCTATCCATCCATTCATCCATCCACCCATTCATCCACCCATCCATCTAACCACCACTAACCAACTCATCCATCCACTCACCTACCCGTGGCCCCAGAGAACATACATCCATACGTCCGCCCACCCATGCATATAGCCATACATCCACCTACCCATAATACATCCATATGTCCGCCCACCCACACATACATCCATATGTCCTTCCACTTATTCCTCCATCTTTCCACCCACCCACCCACATCCACCAGCTCCCACTGTGACCTTGAGCACATTGCTAGAGACACAGGAGAGAACACCCATCCCGAACCTTGTGAGTGTCAGGGCTGGGAACCCTTGCTCATCCTTCAATGCCCTTCCTCCTGGAACTGCCCCGGGCCTTGTTTCTCCTTTTCACCCAGTCCTAACCTTGGGAATGGAGGCATCTATGTCCAGCTTTGCCTCCTATAGCCTGCCTGATCCTTGGAGGGCTGAGATTAGAGAACTCCTATTCATCCCTCAAAACCCCGGCTCCCTTGCCCCTTCTACAAATGTGCCTGGCTGAGTGCTCACCGCAGGTTGGTCTTCTGCACGGAGAAGCAGTACTCGTTGATGCCGGTGGTGGGCATGCGGCTGCGGAGCACATCCTGCGCGGTGGGGATGTAGCCTTCCTCGGCGATGCGCTCCAGGTGGGACAGGTAGCTGCAGAGGAAGGAGACTCGTGGTCTCCCCTTGCTTCTCAGCCCACCACTCATGGCCCAAACAGGACCGTGCTGGGGGAGGAGACCCTCTGGGTGGGGCTGGGACGTCTGCAGGTGACCAGGAGCACCCCTGGGGTAGCACGGCCCCGGGAACAGCAGGCTGCCTACAGCATGTCACCATGGAGTAGCGTCAGCCCAGCAGAGCCACACCCCCAGGGCAGCGTGGCCCTGAGAATAGGAATAAACCAGAAGCAGTCTCCCCAAGCAGCGGAGCACCCCACACGGCCTGGTGTCACCCCAAGAAAAGCGACACTCCAGGAGCCGCATCGCCCCAGGAAGAGGGCTCCCCAGAACAGGGTTGCCCCCGGAGCGGGGTCATCCCAAAAATGGTGACCCCTAGGAGCACCTTCACCCAGGAATGGTACCCCCCAGGATTGGGGTCCCCCAGGGATGCTGTCACACTGGAGCAGACCACCCCGCAGTTGCTCTGCACCCAACAGCTCTCCCCCAGCCGTGGGGAGTCCCCCAGCCGGGCGCACCCCCGCAGCTTCCAGCCCCCTGGGGATGGGCTGGCTGCAACTCCCCGTGGCTGTGCCCAGCGCCCCGCGGCCCCCGCAGCCCCTGACTCACTACATGGCCGAGTCGAGCAGGTGGAACTCGTGCCGCCGATCGTAGCAGGCGCGGATGCCGGGGTCCCTCCACAGCCACTGCATGGCCAGTGAGAGGCGCTTCTCAAACGTGGCCACTTTGTAGGGGTCCTGCTTCATGACCAGACTGGCATGGTGCTGGGGGGGCGGGGGGGCTGGTCAGAGCTGCCATTCCAAGTGTCTCCACCAGCCCCCTCTCCCCTCCTGCTACGGGGTGAACTCTGTCCCTAAAACCTATGTTCACCATGACATGTGAAGACTGTTGAAATGGTAAATGTTTGGAAACGTTTGGTAACCTATATATTGGTAACCACCATAAAAAATAAGTATGTTAAAAAATAAATAATAAGTCCCTGTTGTTGTTATGTGCCGTCGAGTCGGCCCCGACTCATAGCGACCCCTCCTTGGGTTTCCGAGGCAGTATCACTACGGAAGTAGGATTGCCCAACCTTCCTTCCGAGGAGTGGCTGGTGGGTTTGAACCGCCAGCCTTCTGGTTAGCAGTCAAGTGCTTTTACCACTATGCTACCAGCGCTCCCTAGGTGGCATAAATGCTTAAGCTCCAGACAACTCGCCAAGCTGGTGGTTGGACCCCACCCGGAGGCCCCTTGGAAGAAAGGCCTGGCTGTCTGTTTCCAAAACCACAGGCTGGGAAACCCTATGGAGCAGTTCAGCCCCGTCACCTGGGGGCACCAGGAGCCAGGATCCAATGGAGGACAGCTAGCAACAGCAACAGCCAATAATCAATTAACCAAATAAAACAAAAAAACAAGTGATGGACAGTTTTGTGAACTCCTTGTCATTTATGTTTGATGATAATGCGTAACTGGGATTAAGCATATCATTAAATATATTGGATATAACATGTACACATGTACCAGTCCCAGCCCCTGGCACCTAGGAAGGTGACTTTGTTGGAAATGGGGTCTTTGAAGATGGTGTCAGTTAGGTTAACATAACGTCTCACTGGACTATGGGGAGGGGGTTCCTGAATCAATGTTTTTATAAAAGAGGACAGACAGACACAGACAGAAAATACCATGTGAGGACCAGCAGCTGGAGGAGACACGGCCCTACTAGAGACGTGGCCCTGCCCTGGGGTCTGAGGGGGAGACTAGGCCACCTGGGGGCTGAAGGGGAGATGTGGTCCTGCCCTAGGGGCTGAGGGGGAGATGGCCCTGCCCTAGGGGCTGAGGGGGAGACTAGGCCACCTGGGGGCTGAGGGGGAGATGTGGTCCTGCCCTAGGGGCTGAGGGGGTGGCCCTGCCCTGGGGGCTGAGGGGAGATTTGGCCCCTGGGACTCACCTTGCTCTCGGGCCTGCAGAAAGGGATCTGCAGCCGCTCCATGGCCTCGATCATGGCCTGCATGCACACGAAGATGTTCTGGTAGACCAGGGGCCGGAAGGCCCGCCGCTCCTCCTCGGAGTAGCCCGCCCCGTGGATGATGCGCATCTGCTTGATGAAGGTGCTCTTCCCGCTCTCGCCGGGGCCTGGGGGGATGCCACGACCACTTAGCTCGCCATACTCAGACCCCCAGAGACACTCCAGGCGGGAAGCAAGGACCCACCCCAACCCAGGGCCAGGCCTGAAGTTGAGAGCATGTGGGCGCCGGCCACCTGGATTCAAAGCCCGGCTCTGGATGCCGGGTGAGCTCCGTCACCTGCCTGTGCCTCGGTTTCCCCATATGTCACATGCGGATCACGCCAAAGGGAACGAAATGCTGCCCGTTCCTGCACCACGCCATCATCTGTGTGGATCGCACCGCTGGGATGCATAGGGTTTTCAGTTTCAGGAATAGATAGCCAGGCCCTCCTTCCTTCCTTGTCTGTCTCAGCCTGGAACTCTCCTGAAGCTTGTTCAGCATAGACAGGAAGTAGTCCCACATGCAGGGCAATGGCCAGAAATCGAACCTGGGTCTCCCCCACGGAAGGTGAGAACTCCAGCATTGAGCCATCCCTGCCTCGTGAAGTCGACCCAAGGACCAAATTAGTCCATTGCAAAGTGCTGGGAACAGGGGTTGGCAAATCTGGCCCGTGGGCCAAATCTTCTGTATGGCCAACAAGTTTTGACACTTTTTTAGGGTTTTCCTATATGTAATACTTTCTATGGTTTTTATATTTTCAAATTCACAAGAGACAGTTTTGTGATATATGAAAGCTATTTGAAATTCACATTTCAGTGCCCATCAATAAAGTTTTATTGGCACATGGCCACATGCATTCATTTTGTGTGGGCTATGACGGCAGAGTTTAATGTTCATGACAGAGATGGCCCAGCCTGCAAAGTCAAAAACATTGACTCTCTTCACAGACAAGCCATGGTATTTTCAGTCTCCTCATATGTATGTGAAAGCTGGTCAATGAATAAGGAAGACTGAAGAAGAGTCGATGCATTTGACTTGTGTTGCAACGAGTATTAAATGTACCACGGACTGCCAGAAGAATGAACAAATCTCTCCTGGAAGAAGTGTAGCTGGAATGCTCCATGGAAGTGAATAGCCAGACATCGTCTCACATACTTTGGACATGTTATCAGGAAGGACCAGTCTCTGGAGAAAGACTGTAGAAAAGTGGAGGCTCAGCCAAAAAGGGGAAGACCCTCAGTGAGATGGATCAACACAGTGGCTGCAACGACGGGCTCCAAGAACTGTGAGGGTGGCGCAGGACCTGGCAGGGTTTTGTTCTGTTGTACACGGGGTTGCTGAGTCAGAGCCGACGCAACGGTACCTAACAACAACAACAAGATCTACATGTGTGTTCACTATTTCTATTATTATTTTCTATATTATGTTGTGTTCAATGCATCAAATTTATTCTTTTTGATGCATTGAACAGCAATGACCGAAAACCAGAATTGTGGGATGATATCAAGAGCATCATCCATGAAGAAAGCAAGAGGTCACTAAAAAGACAACAAAAGAAGAGAAGACCAAAATGGATGACAGAAGAGACTCTGAAACTTGCCTTTGAGCAGAGAGTAGCTAAAGCCAATGGAAGAAATGACAAGATAAAAGAGCTAAACAGATGATTTCAAAGAGCAGCTCAAGAAGACAAAGCCAATTACTATAATGAAACGTGCAAAGACCTGGAGTCAGAAAACCAAAAAGGAAGAACACGCTTGGCATTTCTCAAGCTGAAAGAAATGAGGGAAAAAATGTAAGCCTCGAGTTGCAACACTGAAAGATTCTAAGGGCAAAATATTGAATGATGCAGGAAACATCAAAAGAAGATGGAAGGAATACACAGAGTCACCGTACCAAAAAGAATTGGTCGATGTTCATCCATTTCAGGAGGTGGCATGTGATCAAGAACCAATGGTATTGAGGGAAGACCTCAAAGCTGCACTGAAGGAAGTGGCAATAAACAAGGCTCTTGGAATTGATGGAACACTGCTGAGATGTCTCAACAAATAGAGGCTGACGCACCACCGCACAGTTTTGTTCTGATGTACGTGGGGTCGCTTGAGTCAGCCTCAACTTGACAACACTCTTTCAGAAGCACAGCACCGGGTCTTTTCTTTCCCTGGTGGTTCAAGCCACCAACTTTCTGGTGCAGCTGAGTGCTTAACCACTGTGCCACCAGGGGTCCCGCGAATAATAATAACGATAAGCTCCTGTAGCAAATATTACTTCTCACAATATTTTCCTGTAATAATTGTTACTGCTTTTTGTTGTAATAATTTCAGGCAGAGGAACTTCCATGAAGGAGATAAAATAGAATAAGTAGGAGAAGTGGTAGCTGAGTGGTCCAAGACTTGTCATCAGAGGTGCCTTGTGGAGCTGGTAGCTAAGGCTGGGAAGGCTGTTCTACTGCCTGACTCTGGGGAACAGTGTTCCAGGCCGGAGGCTCAGCCCGTGCAAAGGCCGTGGGGAAGGACCCGGTGAGTTGGAAGAACATCGAAGAGGCCTGTGTGGCTGAAACAGAGTAAAGGGGTGAGAGGAAGAGGGGCGGGCAGGGAGGGAACAGAGCAGGTCAGGCAGGAGGGCCCTGAGGGCCACCAGGAGGACGGCAGGCCCCTGGCTTTTACAAGAGAAAGGTGGGAACAGAGGAAGGATGGGCCCTGACCTAGGTGCTCACTGGCGCCCTCAGCTGCAGCAGGGCGGACAGTGCGGGGCGAGAGTGGGAGCTGGGAGACCAGGCTACACTGGCCCAGGTGGCCGCCGTGGAGAAGGAGAGAAGGGGACGTGTATGGAGACAGAGTCACCAGGGCCTTGCTGATGGGTCAGACAAAGGAGGAGAGGAGAGGAGAGGAGACTTTGCAGGGCCAGCTTTGGGTGGTTAAGCACTTGGCTGCTAACAGAGAGGTCAGAGCAGTTCAAATCCAGCCGCTCCATGGGGCAAAGATGTGGCCGTCTGCTTGCATAGAGACTGACAGCCTTGGAAACCCTATGGGATGGTCCTACGCTATTCTGCAGGGTCGCTAGGAGTAGGAATCAACTAGACGGCAGTGGGCTTGGTGTATACACAGTAAAACAGATCCCCATTCAGCAATTTCTACACAGTTTGGTGACGCTGGTGACATCTCTTGGTCTGTGTCAGCTTCCTCATTTCCGTTCCACTTGTCCCACTCCCATCACTTTAGGCTCACTTCCCCTAAACTTCTTGTCTAAGCCTTAGAGTCACTGCGTCCATTTGGTCTCATAGAGATAACTCTTACACGCACACGTTTCGCCAGGGTGACCTTTGTCACCTTTTGAGCTGACCTACTTAGTTCAAGGGAGCTCTGGTGGCGTAGTGCCTAAGGCATTTGCCTGCTAACCAGAAGGCTGGCGGTTCAAACCCACCAGCCACTCCTTGGAAGGAAGGTTGAACAATCTACTTCCATAGTGATACCGCCTCGGAAACCCAAGGAGGGGTCAGTATGAGTTGGATCTGACTTGAGGGCAGTGAGTGGGTATTTAGTTCAAAGGTGCTTTCAGGGGAAGTCCTGGCCCGTAGAAGCTTTCAGTATCATTACCACAGACCCAGGGCCGGCTTTGGAGGCGTGTGACCTGAGCAGCCCCACAAAAAGCCAAAACAAAACCCACTGCTGTTGCCTGGATGCTGACTCATAGCGACCTTGTAGGATGGACTAGAACTGCCCCACAGGGTTTCCAAGGCTGTGGTCTTTATGGAAAGAGACTGCCTCATCTTCTTCCTGCAGAGCAGCTGGTGGGTTCAAACCGCTGACCTTTCAGATAACATCTGAGCCCTTAACCACTGCATCACCAGGGCTCCTGGAGAAACGTGTGCCTGTAAGAGTTATCTCCATGAAACCAAATGGATGCAGTGACTCTGAGGCTTAGATAAGTTTAGGGGAAGTGAGCTTAAAGTAATGGGAGTGGGACAACTGGAACAGAAATGAGAAAGCTGACGTCGTCACCAATGTCACCAAACTGTGTAGGAATTGCTGAATGGGGATCTGTTTTACTGTGTATACACCAAGCCTACTGCCGTCGAGTTGATTCTGACTCCTAGTGACCCTGCAGAATAGAGTAGGGCCATCCCATAGGGTTTCCAAGGCTGTCAGTCTCTACAGAAGCAGACGGCGCATCTGGGTCCCCTGGTGCAGCTGGGCTTGAACTGCTCTGACCTTTCTGTTTGTAGCCGAGTGCTTAACCTCTGTGCCACTAGGGCTCTTTTTGCTGCGTACTTTCACCAAAAATACAATAAAATGTTTAAATATATACATTCCCACTGCTGTCAAGTCGGATCCGACTCATAGCAACCCCTCCTTGGGTTTCTGGAGCGGTATCACTACGGAAGTAGATTGCCCAACCTTCCTTCTGAGGAGTGGCTGGTAGGTTTGAACCACCAGCCTTCTGGTTAGCAGTCAAATGCTTTAGGCACTACACCACCACATATATATATATATATATATATA